GACTTCCTAGAAGTCTATTTCCTTTGCCAGATTGGGGAAGTTCTTCATTATTTGTTCAAATAAGTTTTCAATTTCTTGCTGTTCCTCTTCTCCTTCTGGTACCCCTATAATTCAGATGTTGGAACATTTAAAGATGTCCTGGAGGTTCCTAAGTCTCTCCTCATTTTTTTGAATTCTTGGGTGTTTCTTTCTTCCTTCTGGTCCACACCATTGATTAGAGACCCAGTTTCCTTCCCATCACTATTGGTTCCCTGTGCATTTTCCTTTATTTCACTTAGCATTGCCTTCATTTTTTCACCTAATTTGCGACAAATTCAGCCAATCCTCTGAGCATCCTGATTCCAGTGTTTTGAACTGTGCATCTGATAGGTTGGCTATCTCTTCATCACTTAGTTGTATTTTTTCTGGAGCTTTGATCTGTTCTTTTGTTTGAGCCTTTTTTTTTTTTTTTTTTTTGTCTTAGCACATATGCTGCGTATAAAGAGCAGAGCCTTAGTGTTCACCAGGCCAGGGCAACCCAGTCCCTGGGTTGTGATGCTATATGCAGGGAAGGTGTTGAGAGGGAATAATAGCACTTGCTTAGCTTTCTGCCATATTTCAGTCACTTCCCCTGCTACCCACAAGAAAAGTGGGCCCTTCTGGTGCTGAATACTGGGTGGGTGGGCTTGTGTACATTCTAAAACCCTGGGCCTCTCTTCAACAAACTCTCCTGTGAAGATGGGAGTTTCTCTCACTTCCACCTCAACCTGCACAGTTGTTTTCAATTGGTGGTTTGAGGCTTTATTTCCCCGCACTGGGACCCCAGGTTGCACAGTTTGTCTTGCTCCCCAGGTGTTTCCCCACCCTGTTTTATCCGCACATGAATGTGGGACCGCCGCTGCCTTGCTGGTCCACCAGCTGCAGTCTTGCCCGCCCCACTCCACAATCTACTGCTTTGTTGAGTCCACCAGCCACTGCCTTGCCTGCCCTCCACCGAGGTGAGTCCTCTCCTCCCGTCTCCACCCTCCCACCAGTTTGGATGGATGTTTCTTCTTTAACTCTTTGGTTGTCTGACTTCCATACAGTTCAATTATCTGTCAGTTCTGGTTGCTTTTTATTTTTAAATTGTTGTCTTTCTTTTGGTTGTGTGAGGAGGCACAGTGTGTCTACCTACACCTCCATCTTGGCCAGAAGACATTTTTTTTTTGGACAGACCTCATATATACATGTATATATGTATATGCTATTGATACTATTAACAGTTGTCCCATTTTTTCTCCCCTTCATTCCTCTCTGCCCTGCACACCCCCCACCAGCCTTCCCCCTCACCCCTTAGTTCATGTCCATGGGTCATACATATCAGTTCTTTGGCTTCTACATTTCCTACACTATTTTTAACCACCCCCTGCCTATTTTGTATCTGTCATTATGCTTGTTATTCCCTGTACCTTTTCCCCCATTCTGCCCCCTACCCACCTATCCATGTGATCTCCATTTCTGTGATTCTGTTCCTGTTCTACTTGTTTGCTTAGTTTGCTTTTGTTTTTTAGGTTCAGGTGATAGTTGTGAGTTTGTTGTCATTTTACTATTCATATTTTTTATTATCTTCTTTTTCTCAGATAAGTCCCTTTAACATTTCATATAATAAGGGCTGGGTGATGAACTCCTTGACCTTATCTGGGAAGCACTTTATCTGCCCTTCCATTCTAAATGAAAGCTTTGCTGGACAGAGTAATCTTGGATGTAGGTCCTTGCCTTTTATGACTTGGAATATTTTCCAGCCTCTTCTTTTCTATAAGGTTTCCTTTGAGAAATCAGCTGACAGTCTTATGGGAAGTCCTTCGTAGGTAACTGTTTCCTTTTCTCTTGCTGATTTTAAGAGCCTCTCCTTATCTTTAATCTTGGGTAATATACTTAAGATGTGCCTTGGTGCACATCCTTATTTTGGTGCCTTCCTTAGGTCCAACTTCTTTAGGGCTCAGAGAGCTTCCTGGACTTCCTGGAAGTCTATTTTCTTTGCCAGATTGGGGAAGTTCTCCTTTATTATTTGTTCAAATAAGTTTTCAATTTCTTCCTCCTCCTCTTCTCCTTCTGAAACTTCTATGATTTGGATGTTGGAACATTTAAAGTTGTCCCAGGTTCCTAAGCCTCTCCTCATATTTTCAAATTCTTATTTCTTCATTCTGTTCTGGTTGAATGTTAATTTCTTCCTTCTGGTCCAAACCATTGATTTGAGTCCCAGTTTCCTTCCCTTCACTGTTGGTTCCCTGGATATTTTCCTTTAGTTCACTTTGCAGAGCCTTCACTTCTTCCCCTATTTTGTGACCATACTCAACCATTTCTGTGAGCATCCTAATTACCATCGTTTTGAACTTTGCATCTGATGGTTGACTATCTCTTCATTGCTTAGTTGTATTTTTTCTGGAGTTTTGACGTTCTTTCATTTGGGCTTTTTCTTCTTTTTTGTCTCAGCATGCCTGTTTTATAGTAAGTGGCTGAGCCTTAGGTATCCACCAGGGCAAGGCAATGTGCTGTATGTGGGGGGGGGGCGGTCAGAGAGGGAACAATGCTGCTTGCTGGCTCTTGGTTGGCTTTGAGTCACTTCCCCCCACTACCCACAAGCAAATAGGCCCTTCTGGTGCTGATTCCCAGGTGGGTGGGTTTGTGTGTGATCTAGGACCCTGTGGGTCTCTCCAACAAACTCTCCTGTGAGGGTGGGAGTTTATTCCACCACTGCAACTCCCACAGGTTTTTCTGGCCAGAGGTTTTGAGACTTTCTTTCCCCACGCTGCAACCCTAGGTTGTGTGGTCTGTCTTGCTCCCCTATTGTTCTTTCCAGTTTATCCACATGCAAAAATTGGACCACCCACTCAACCAGCTGTCAGCTTGCCTGCTCCTCCCCAGCTACCCATCTCTGCCCCTCCTACCAGTCTGGCTGAATGTTTCTTCTGTAACTTCTTGGTTGTCAGACTTCCTCAAAGTTTGGTTTTCTGGCAGTTCTAGTTATTTTTGTTTTTAAATTTGTTGTTGTCCTTTTTGTTATGCAAGGAGGCAAAGTGTGTCTACCTACACCTCCATCTTGGCTGGGAGTTGATAATAATTTCATTATTAATTAATATGCTGTTAAATTTTTGTCTTTCACATCTCTTTCGGATACTTGGGACTTTCTGCCAAAAATGTTTAAAAGGCTTTACCACCATAGCCAGGAGAAAGGGCACTTCACCCAAGTGCCCAACTCACATACAGGACATAGCACTTCTGTACAGAGCGTTCTCCACCCTCCATCCTGAGAGCCCAGAAACTGGAGAAGAGTCATTGGGGAAATCCTACCATTGGAAAAAATTTTTTCTTAACTATAAAAGTATATTTTTACTGTAGAATTGAGTTTCACAAACTTTAATGAACATGCAAATCACCTGGGATCTTATTAAAATGCAGCTCCTGACTTTAGAGGCCTTGGGTGGAGACAGAGATGCTATATTTTTAACAAACTCCCAGTTGACGCAACTGGAGAGCAAACTACACTTTGAGTGTCATGAATTTAGCAAACTAACAAACAAAAAAATAAATAGAATAACACGAATCAACTATGAATTTGTCTCCTATAATGGTACATTCTGCTTCCTATTCATACCACCATGCTGAAATAGTTCAGGATTCCTGGGTTCCTGCCCAACAGCACTCAGAATCTAGAAGAGGAACAGATCCAGGTGATGCTGTGAGGAGCCCTTGGAGTAATGGGAGGCTGCCTGGAATGGTGGGTATGGGGAGGGAGTGAGTAGGCAGTCTAGTCCTGCTACTGCAGTAAGACAACTAATGCTTTGCATCTTCAACAGGTAAATCAGATGCAAGCAAGGAACCTCAGGTTCAAGAGAGAATTCTGGGCAAGGCAAGAACCTGAGTGGATGAAAAGCTGTGTCAACAGGTAGGACAGATCAAACCCAAAGATTTACTTCTCTACCCTTCCTTCTAAGACCTGAGGGTGGGTGATTGCATTCCAAGGGATTCCTCCTCCTAAAAATCTCCTACTCTACCTGGGAGCACTAAGAAAAAGCCCTGATCTTGATCCAGGAGTGAGAAACTATAATTCTCTGTACCTGAATCTTCCCACCCTAGAGTGAGTCCACCCTCTCTTAACTCCTTACCACCACTCCCAACTGCCACCACCAACAATAAAAACATACACTTCACTTCAAGTGAAAAAGTTAAAATGAAGAATGATATTCATTTCCAGAACTTTCATACCATCCCAAACAGAAACTCTATTATTTACCATTCCTTTTTAAAAATGCATTAACTGAAACTCTTTTTGTAGAAAGACACTTGGCTGCATCTATTATTTGGAAAGGCAAGAGAAATGCTTGGTGAGGATGGGGCACAAGGGGCAGCTTTGGGGCAGCTCAAAGCTGTTCAATTTTTTGAGTTGTTTAGTGATTATAGAATGTTTGCAGTATGGTGAGACTGCAGAAGGGTGGGGGACAACAGGGAGACAGGAGAGCCAAGCAAAAGAATAAAAGAAATTTTCTGGTACCACAAGAAAGCACACATTATATGATAAATTTATGCATTTCCTAAAATGAACTGTGTGATTCTATATTTATAGAAATAAAACTGAAAGGGAAAGTATCTGCCTGTTTTTGTAGGTAGATTTAGACATGGATCTATTTAAAGGCAGATGAGTGTGTAAAAGAACTTCTTAGAAGCCCTCCTGGAGCAAAAAGAGCTTCTGGGGTGCTGGTGATGATATGTGCATAGATCTGAGTCCTGGGGGCATGAGAATGTTCAGTTTTGTGAAAAATTATTGGGCTACACGAGCATACTTATAATACATATGTCTTTAAGTATGTATACTTTCATAAAAACTTCAAAGAAATTAAAAGTCCCATGTGCTCTTCAGATTCTACTTTAGGGAAATACCCAACCCTTATTTAGGCTGCTAGAATTATAAGAATGTATACTGAGGATAGAACTGGAATTAGAGTCCTTTCCACTCATTAATTATCCATGAAATGAAATCAGACCTGATTCATCAGCTTGCTTGTTCTTGACTGGAGGAGAGAGACTGTGGTGACTATATCTCCAATGTGTTGGCTCTGGCAGTGGCTCAGCAGTACCCACACCTTGGTCCACCTCACAGGACCCATGGCTGCTTCTAATGAATAAACTTAAAATGGGAGTTGATGGATTCAAGATGGCCCACTCTGACAAGAAATGGAGAGAGCAAGAAGAGGGGAGAATGAAGAGAATGTAAATAACAGGGCATCTACCTCATGTCTGCTAAATAATGATCTTTGAGCTATAGGCTCCAATATTCCTGTAAAGCATAAATCACACTATTTTAAAAATTTGTGTCATAGTAACTGAAAGGAATACTTACACGTAATCTCCCCTTAAAGTTTCTGATCTTATTAACTCTGAGATTAGGCCTCTGCTGGCCCAGGCTGGTGTGACTCAGTGGATTGAGCACCAGCCTGCAAACCAGAGGGTCACCAGTTTGATTCCCAGTCAGGGCACATAACTAGGTTGCAGGCCAGTTCCCAGCATGGGACGCACAAGAGGCAACCATACATTGATATTTCTCTTCCTCTCTCCTTCCCTTCCCCTCTAAAAATAAATAAATAAAACATTTTTAAAAAAAAAGACACAAGCCACGTGAAATCCATTACTAAATTTATTGCAGCAGTATTTACTGATGAGGGCCAATAAGAGAAATGCCTTGGGCATCTCATTATTGGACACTAAAAAAAATTTCTAGAAGAAATTTTTTAGCACAAAAATGGTAAATCTTAGAATTATATCCTCTCATTAGCTCTTTTTGATGGTGGGAGGAGGGTTGCTAAAGGCTTCTGACCAAATCTGGAGCCCATGTCTATTGATTATGCAGGACTTTATGACACCCAGTTTGATAACTTCCTTACCCCTGGCTTCCTGGCTTCATCTTATTATCTTCCTCATTTTTGGTTTGTACCAATTGCCTCGTTAATTCTAGAATATGCTATGTGCTACACAGAACTCTATAAGCTGCTACCAATAGTATTTCAAGGAAGGCACAGTATAAGGAAAAGAAATCGATACACTTTGTAAATTCTATTATCTCTGTTTCCCACACCAGTGTGCTCTTCACTTAAAATGGTGGCAAGTAGAAGATAAGCTATCGTCCTCCTGCAGCATGCCAGCAAGTGATAACCCATCCCTTTTTCACTACTCCCTAATAAGTACTTGCTGCTACTTTTAGGAAAATAATTTATGGGCCAGTTTTTCAAATCAAAAAAACACATTGGCTTCCTCTCTCTCTCTCTCTCTCTCTCTCTCTCTCTCACACACACACACACACACACACACACCCCATGCTTACCAAGTAATCAAAAAACCCAATTCGTCCCAGCCACACACTTTATAGATAGATCTCCTTTAGCTATTCTCAGGCATATATTCATATTTTTATTTCTTTGCTGCATTTTTATTACAAATTATATATAAATACTTCCCCCATATTTTATTTGTATTATCATACTAGGTATCTATGAGAAAAATAACATTTTAGAAATTAAATGTAAAATTATATGTAAAGACATTGTGATAAATTACAATCCAAGCATTAGAATTTGACTTGACCGTGTTTTTTTCTTAGCCCAGCTGCCTCCCAGAGTTAGCCACTGTTACCAGTTTGATGCATATCCTTCTAGACTGTCTATGCTTTTACAAAATATATACATGTCTATAACAATATACTGGTTATATAATGTGTGTGTGTAAAAAGATGGTATGATGTACATGTTATTGTAACTGAACAAAAAAACAGAGGTTCAGCTGCCTGTCACCACAAAAGCCAAACTCGTGAGACAGATGCTGGTGCAAAAGGAAAGGGGTTTTATTCAGGTGCTGCACAACCTGGGAGAATGGCAGGCTCCTGTCTCAAAGCCCATCTCCTCTTTCTGCCATGGAAAGTCCAATCTTCCTCAGCAAGGCCAAGACAAAAGTCAGTGTCCCAGTGTCCAGAATTCCTGCTCCATTTTAAAGTACAGCCAGTCCCTTGGAGCCCATAGGCAGCTGCTAAGCAGTCTTGGTCCCCATACAGGTAGCTTAGCTTCTTCCCAGCTGCTGCTGGAGCCCGCTCGTGGAGCCCAGATGGCCACAGGCCATGTAGTTGCCAGAGCCACGAGGCCACATGCTCCCAGGTGAGAGCACACTCAAGCACACTGGTAAAAGCATCACCAGGTGGGTAAAAGAGCGAGAAGCTCCCTCCTGGAGGCCAAGAGTCACGTGGGTGCTAAAGGCACATGAGCCACGGAGAGAACAGACAAGTGAATCATGCAAGTGCAGGTCAGGAGCCAGAGAAGGCAGGTTTCTTTGTTCCCTTGGGATTATATTACCTTGGGGTTGGGACTGCCCAGGTGTTTTCTGAAAATGACCAATCAACTTCAAAACTTCTGTGCTTCTGGTGGGTTCTCTTCCCTATTAAGACCTTCTTTCTCAGGCTAGACCAGCAGTCCTTTTTGGTCAGCACCTTCCCCTGCACCATTTTGTCTTCCACAGTGCATGTGTCTACCTTCCCTTAGTCCCACCCCCAATCTGCTACCAGAGGTGAAGAGGGCTTTTTTTTCCTATTCAATTACTTTGCTAGCTTTTCATACACTCAGTGTATAAACCTTCCCCTGCTGCCATCTTGACCAATGGGGGAGTTTCCCCCAGTGCTGTTTTACGGTAACATTACGCTGTTCCATAACTTGCTTTTTTCATTTAACATTATATCTTAGAGACTTTTCCCGCTCCAAGAGAAGAGCACTTTTCTGTTAACTTATACAGACAGCCTATTTTAGCTACTAGTTGCTGACTTGTTATCTATCTTTATTTTTCAGTCAATGGCAAGGCCAAATACCTAAGTTGCTGTTCATAAAGGAATTCTGATAATCTGATCACACAAGCATGACTACCCATTTCATAGAGTAGCTGTGCTGGAAAATGATGCTAAACCTGTAGTAGATTCTATTATGAGTCTTGATCTGAGGTTCATATACTGAACAATTTTTGACTGGCTGTCTATCAGGTGCCATTTCAGGACCTGGGGATATATTTGTGAGCAAATAATAATCTCTACCTTTATGGTGCTTACAGTATCTTGAAAGGAAAAAGAAAATAAAATAATAAGTAAAGAAATACTATGCTGATTGATGGTAAGTGATACAAAGAAAAATTAGGGAGAAAAGAATAGGAATATCCAAGAGGAGACCAATAATTGCAATTTCTAACATGGTGGACATAGAGAACCTATGGAGAAGGTGACAATCTGAGCCAAAGTATACCTTTAGTTTCTATAGAGTTAGTAGTTTGTCTTTCAGAGAGAGAAAGAGTTAAGTGAGGTGTTTTCAGCAATTTCTTTCTCATCATTCGGCACTCCCACAGTTGGCTCACCTTCCCAAACTTGACTGTTGAACAATTCCCTTAAGAGGGATCAGGGTGATCACGCTTCTGTCAGTCTACAGAAAGTATGCCAGAAAACTACTATTTTCTGTTTCTGCTTTCCTTTACCAGGAGCTTGCACTTTAAAAAGGTATTAAATTGCTTCTCTTGACTACTATTTTGAAAAAGCCCCTTCTTATTAAAACTCCTTAAGATAGATTCCCAATTTTGACTATGTACTGGCATTATATGCAGGAGCTTTAAAAAATTCTGATGCCTGTGTCCCATCCCCAAAGATCCTAATTTCATTTATCTGGAGCATCAGATTTTATAAAAAAGTTTTCCAAGTGATTCTAATACATAGCTAGTAGTGAAGACCAATGTTTTATGGGCCACAAGCCCATAGCTTTGTTCTCTTAATGATAATGTGTTCAACAAATGACCACAGGTTTCCAACTGAAGACCAATCAACCAAAAACGAAGACTGGGATATCCTATAACTAACCAGTTGCTGCTACTACTAATTATTTCTTAATTCCTTGTATGTAATTACACACTTTCACAAAGTGCATTCCAATACATTATCTTTTTTGATACATGTGTTGTCATAATGTCCTTAAAAAGACACCAGAGTTCTAAGCCAGTAATGGTTAGTGTGGAAAAGCTTGGCTGAAATGCTGATCCATTACAAAAGAATTTGAGTAGCTACTATGTGCTCCAGGCACATCACATTCTAGAGTTATAAGGTGCCACACCTTTCTTAATATTAAATTTAAAGAATTTGAATTAGTCAAATAACTTAAAATCACCTTGAACTACAAATGATAACTAGAAGAAAATATCATTAAATATCACATTTCTGTACATTATAGTATTTTTAAATTTAATACTCAAAGAGTTCTTTTTTTTACAGATTTTATCTTTTTATCTTTAGAGGGGAAGGGAATGAGAGAGGGAGAGAAATATCAATGTATGGCTGCATCTCATGCGTCCCCTGCAGGGAACTGGCCTGCAACCCAGGTATATGCCCTGACTGGGAATCAAACTGCGATTATCTGGTTCGCAGGCCCCCACTCAAGCCACTGAGCTACACCAGCCAGGGCTACTCACAATTCTTATCAGTTGAATGGTTTCCTGTTAAACAAAGGCTCAGAGAGGTTAAATGATTTGCCCAAAATTATGCAGCTGCAAGTTTCAGAATCAGAATTTGAACCCAGCTCTTCTAAACTAGTGCACTTACCAGTATGGATGGGAAAGCTACAGTTGTCTTTTCATGTCTATGTTCCCCCAAGGCATCATGTGATGCAGGAAAACGCATCTTAGAGTCCATTGTGGATTGTGGAGCCAGGTTTTTCATATTCTAACTGTATGACCTTGGGAAGTCATTTTACCTCTCTGTGCCTCATTGTCTTGCATACAAAATGAAGAAAAAGCCCTGACTGGGTTGCTCAGTTGGTTAGAGAGTCATCCCTATACACAAAGAGCACCCTGGGAACCTCCAATTTATAGTGAAGTTGGCTAGAAGCTGTGTGTAACCTGGAGACCTGCTCCTTGCAATGCAATTCACATGTAAGTGAGGGGTAGTCTTGAAATGAATCCTTAACCTATGGGAGCTGGGTAGTTAGTGTCAGAATTGAATTGAATCATAGGGCACTTAGCTGGTGTTGTAGAATTCGATGGTATGGGAAAAAACCATATGGTGCCACAAGTATTGTATGTGAAGGTAAAAAAACAGAATGTTTCTCCCTAGATACCATCACAAAATTATGAAGAGCAAGACCACTTGAAAGTATATTTCCTTAGCAACATATAACTATTAGTTTCGAAATGAATTCCAAATGGGATGATTTCTGAGAATGGTATAAACCTCTATATACTAAAAGGTAGGACAAAAATGGGCCAATGAAAAACTACATACTTATGATCATATACATGTGTATTCCTATATATATTTATATTACACATGTGATATATACAGACATACATGCTACATGCATTTTTATAATTATATTTATTTTATATGTTTATATATTTCAGATTACAAACTTTATATTCAACATTTTGTATTATTTTTACATCATATATTCTTGAGTACATTTCTGTAACTTTAATTCTTGGATTTTTGAATAAAGTTTCAAATTCTGTACTAGTTTGCCCTTTGAGATTTTAAAAAAAATTACTTCCTTTCCCATAGTTAACACTCCAGTGACCCCTTGCTAAAGCAGCCTTGAAAAATAATTGTTGCCATGGCAACAGCTTTTCTTTCCTGTATCAACTATGTGATAAATTTCAAAGATGAATTGGACCAATTAAATACTGCCTCCAAAATATCCTGTAATTGATTTTCACTTTTTCACTGCTGCCTGTATCCAAAACACAAGTGTTATATTCATTCATTCTAAAAAGCCTAAGACTGGTGTCAGAATCCAAAGCATCTAGCTATATTCAAGCATGTATTTGTTTGTTTATTCAACCAAAAGAACCCAATTAGGAATCAGAAGCCCGTAAACTTGGACCCCCCTTCCCTTTACTCTCTAGTAGCTATCAGGAAGAGAAAAATAAGGACAAATGATAATGATTTCTTCATTTAGTCTTAAATGTTTTCAATTTAGAGAACTACCCATCATTTAGAGATTATCTCCTTTCATGTATGAAATGGCAGTAGTAGACTATAGTTGGGGTCATATTGTTAAGCTTTATTGGCAAACTTATATTGAGATACAATTTTTTAAAATAATAGTATCGCCCTGACTGGTATGGCTCAGTGGGTTGGGTGTGGTCCCACAAACTGATATGTTGCCAGTTCAGTTCCTAATCAGGATGCATGCCTGGGTTATGGGCCACATCCCTGGTTAGGGGCATTTCAAGAGGCAACCAATCAACATTTCACCCACACATCAATGTTTCTCCCCTTCTCTTCCTCCCCCCCCCCAAAATCAATCAAAATATTTTAAAAATAAATAGTATTTTTATATTTTACTTTATTCATTTTTATATTTTATTGATTCTATTAGTTTGTCCCTTTTCTCCCCTTTATCCCCTTCTGCCAAGTACCCATTCCCTCCAGCATTCCCCTGCCTTAGTTTGAGTCCATGGATCATACATATTAGTTGTTTGGCTCCATTTCCTATACTATTCTTAACCTCCCCCTGTCTATTTTGTACCTACAATTTATGCTTTTTAATCCCTGCACCTTTTCCCCCATTCTCACCCCTCCCCTTCCCTGCTAACCCCCATGTGATCTCCATTTCTGATTCTGTCTTGTTCTACTTGTTTGCTTAGTTTGTTTTTATTTTTATAGATTCAGTTGTTGATAGTTCTGAATTTGTCATTTTACTGTTAGTAGTTTTGATATTCTTTCTCAGCTAAGTCTCTTTAACATTTCCTATAAGGGCTTGCTGATGATGAACTCCTTCAACCTTGACCTTATCTGGGAAACATTTTATCTGCCCTTCTATTCTAAATGATAGCTTCGCTGGGTACAGCAATCTTGGATGTAGGTCCTTGCTTTTCATGACTTGGAATACTTCTTTCCACCCCTTCTTGCTTATTAAGTTTCTTTTGAGAAATCAACTGATAGTCTTATGGGAACTCCTCTGTAGGTAACTCTCTTCTTGTATGACTGGAAATCAAACCTGCAACCTTGATGTATTGGGACAACACTATAACCAACTGAGCTACCCAGCAAGGCAAGATCCAAATTTCTTAGGAAATATTATTGGTTCATAAAATTCCTAGGCTTGGGAAGCAATGAAGTATAATAATTTAATTATAAAAAGTAACACATATTTATGCTAAAGATTCAAGCAGTATCACTGATTATATAATTTAAATTTTTTTCTAACTCCTTTATCTACATCACAATTTCCATTATTATTAAATTTATGAAAAAATTGTATAGATATGCAATTATTTTCCTAAAAGGGATACGGACACTATTCATGCTGCTCTGTACTTTGGCTTATTCTCTTAATGAAATTTAATTATCTTCAGGCCTTTTCTTTCAAAATCCTAAATTTTCATTAATATTCTAAAATTGTGTTGAGTTCCTAGTACAAGCTGAATTCTATGACTGTTATGGGGAGTGGTGGGCAGACTGACAGGAGGTACCAGAAGCCCTAGCCCATGTGTCTAAGTTGGTTGGAATGTGGAGTGTGGTCTGTAAATTAAAGGGTCTCAGGCTCAATTCCTGGTCAGGGTACATGCCTGGGTTGTGGGGTAGGTCCTAGGGCAGGGGCCTTATGAGAGGCAACCGATCCATGTTTCTCTAACACATCAATGTTTTTCTCTTCTCTCTCTCGATCCCTCCCCCTCTGACTAAAGAAATGATTTGTCATCAGTATGAAGAGTCTAGAAAAAAGAAATGAGAATTCATTAACTATTTCAAAATGAAAAAGTTCAGATCACACACAAAAAATAGTTACTTAGGTGGTTCATTCCAAATCGCCTTCTGTCACAATCATATACTGCATTCCAACTCCCTCACCTAATTCCTCTTATTAATCAAATCACAATTTCTATAACTTGGCTGACTACTTTTTACTCTATATCTAACCAGCTAAGAATTTCTTATGCTAAATTACTGCTATTCTGATTAGCAAATCAACCCCTTAAAGAGCTTTGAATCTGACGTCCACCAAGCAAAGTGAACACCTCTAAGCAAGAACCACAGCAGGGACTTCTAGCTGCTTACATTCTTCCTTAACAACAAAATCCTGATTTTATTTGGTGTGGCAATGAGCCAGTGTCAATGAACTAGAAGACTACAGTTTGCTGCCCTCCTTGCAACCAAATGCATCATTTTGTAATTGTTCAGTGAGTTTTCTAGAGTAGCTCTTTAAAAAGGAAACACAATACTAGAATGCACCCTTTGGTCTTTCCCATTGTTGCTGCAAGATGGATGTGATGGCTGGAATTCCAGCATCTGTTGTAAGCCATATGGATGGTAAAGAAGAAAGGATCTCTGATGCCCATGAAGCCACCACTACCTTTTTGTAGCTTGTCTGGACTACACAGTCTTGAATTTCCCTACTAATAGAAAATAAACCCTAATGTGGTTAAGTCACTGCAGTTAATCCTGACAGAATGGTGACTCCTCTTAGTTCTTTTCTCATGCAAGAACTTGTGTGGATCTAATTAAATTGTGATGTGCCTGGGATAATAGTCTGTTTCCACTTATACATCCCACAAAAATATCAAGTGACCATTCCTGTACCATGTGTCAGAAAATGTTCACTTTTCAGAACTTTTTCAATACATTTTTAGCTTCCTCCCACTTACCGAGTCAGTGTACAGTGGGCTATTCAGCACAGCCCAGGGCCCCATCTGGGGGGTGAGGGGGTGGAGGGTGCATTTCCTGGCTTTTTTCTTTTGGCTCCTCCATCATCACATTTCCCTGCCCTGTACCCTCCTTTTTCACAATGGTTGCTCTGTTGTGAAATGCTTTATTATTGAATTTAGGAGAAATTCTTAATGTGTTATAATTGCTCGATTCTTTAATTAGAATTTTTTAAACTGATTTTAGAAACATTAATTTGTTGCTCCACTTATTTATGCATTCATTGGTTGATTCCTGTATATGCCCTGACCAGGAATCAACCTGCAACCATGTCGTATAGGTAGACTCTCTAACTTAGCAACCCAGCAAGGGCTACAATGCTATTTTCTAGAGTGGAACTAGATTAAATGTGTTCACAACTGGGACCTCTCTGTTTTGACTCTAACTTGAGTACTTTTTCAATGGGGCTGTTTTTGTAAAACTCGAAATAATGTTTTTAATCAAACATAAAACTGGCGAAAAGGATCATAAAAACGTTTGGAATGGAACAAACGCTCAGGTTTCATGCTGGCTTAAACCAACTAAACGGGGAGATTCGTTTTTATTTTTGTGCCTAGTAATTGGGTCTGAAGTCCAAGTAACACATGGGCGGATTGCAAGCTCCCTATTTTTGTTTAACCCTGTAGCACCTGGGATATAATTTCAACTTCACCTTAAAGTGACAATTTACCCTCTTTTCAAACAAAGGATGTAAATCAAGGCCAAGGGCAAACAGAGTTTTTTAGCTACATGCCATAGGAATCCACAAACATTCTAACAAGGACCAAACCCATAGTTGGGAGCTGGTGGAAACTCGCGTTTCACCTTCCTCCTACCCTCCCCAAAGGCCTTTAAGCCCCCCCACCCCCGCCCCCACGATTATTCCCAGGAGCCAGCAGGACAACCTGAATCTTACTACTCGGACTCAGCTGAGCCCCACAGAGTCATTCCAGAACTCCAGGTCTGGCAGCCGTTGGGGCAAAAGATGAAAAGTCCTCCGAGGCCCTCAGAGACCATAGTAGCCGGTCAAAAGCCCTCATACCTTGCCCTTATCCTCGTGGTCTCCAAGGCCTCCAGGACCTGGCCCTCCGTAAATGTAAAGTGCCCCGACAACAGGAGAGTGCAAGTAAGCTCGAAACACGACATTTCCACTCCCAAAAAGGTATGGGAGCCTGCGTTGCGTGCCGGATGGGGCGGAAGCTTTTAGAGACTTCAACTAAGCCCCACCCAGGGTGGCCCCAGGCCCTACTCCCCTCACTCCCTCCCCCACGCCCGCTCTCCCCCACCAAAGCCTGCGATCCCGCCCTCTGCCCTCCTCACCATTCCTTCCCCCACGTGTCCCCTGAAACACAACCTTGCAGCTCCACACTAAGAGCCCGGATGTTCCCCTCCCGCCGCCCAACCCCAGCCTCGCGGGGGCCCAGCCCAGCGTGGCTCAGCGTGCCACGTCACCAACTCCGGCACTTCCGGAGGCGCAGCCGGCTATGACGTAGGGGGACTTGCCCTCTATATGAGGTTAGGGAGCGGCTGACTCGGCCTTTTCCGCCCGCTCCCCCCTCCCTTAGATCGCTGTTCTGGCTGCACCACGCTCGCTAGAGCTCCGGGCTCCTGCTCAACCAGCGCCGCTGTCGTCTTCTTCTAGCCGCCATCATGATCATCTATCGGGACCTCATCAGTCGTGAGTTGTGACTGCTATAACCCTACTGCTGAGCGCAGGGGATGGGGCAGTGGTGGGGAGGGAACGGGAAGATGGACGCCACCGCTGTTTTGGGCCTAGTGGATGCTTGTGGCCTTTCCGGGATAGAGGAGGGGTCGGTGTTTGGGGCACGAGCCCGGGGAGGGAAGAAGACAGCGTGCGGCTAGCCAGCCTGCGCGGGAAATGGCGGCGCCAACTTTGGGCCTCTGGGCGCATCTTGATGGCGGGCCTGTGTCTCCGAGCAGATGATGAGATGTTCTCCGATATTTACAAGATCCGCGAGGTCGCAGACGGGCTGTGTTTGGAGGTAGAGGGGAAGGTGAGTAGTAGACCTGCTGCAAGGGGGAGGTAAAGCTGGGCAAGCTCGAGTTTCCGCCGCTTCCCCCCCCCCCCAAGGTTGTGCAATCATCTGCCCTGCCTCCAGGCGGAGGAGACTCTTTCCGCCCGGGTTTTTCTAGAAAAGTGGAGGCGGAGCTGAGTCTGGAAATAGGTTTGCTTCCTGGGCGCCCGTCCTCCCCAGCCTCTGTCCAGGACTGGTTGTTTCCATCTATGGTTTGAGGTTCCCAAAACCTTTAGTGTATTCCCTTATATCTATTTGCTCAACCCGAGAGCCCACAGAAAATGTCCGTTAGGGTTGTGATAACCACGTTTTCATTTTCGTCAATAAAAAGTTCATGTTGAGCTAAGGTGTTTAAGGAAACGGACGAGTCATAAATTTCCCACCTCAAATGTTTATTATTTTTAACAAGAACGTCTGGTGGGAGGATGATGGGTACATAAACTACTGGTAAAGAAAAAATTTTCGGGTTCATTTATATTAAACTACTCATTCTTAATACAGATGGTCAGTAGGACAGAGGGTAACATCGATGACTCACTTATTGGTGGAAACGCCTCCGCTGAAGGCCCCGATGGTGAAGGAACAGAAAGCACTGTAATCACTGGTGTTGATATTGTCATGAACCATCATTTGCAGGAAACCAGCTTCACAAAAGAGGCCTACAAGAAGTACATCAAAGATTACATGAAATCGTAAGTGGTACCGACCGGCACACACAGCTGTCTGGAATTCTATAGGGTTTAATGATTGGCTAAGTTTGCGATTCTTGAGCAGCAGGCATACTTGTAGGGACACCTTATCCTTTATGATTCGGTGGACTCAAAGGGTGCTTGTTTTTGTATAAGTAATAACGTGAGCCTACTGGAGCAAGCAGTCTGGTTTTAGTTTTTTAGAAGAGTACTTTGGAAATAAGTTGATAGGTTTTGACAGATCAACTTTGTTCAGTGACAGCAACTTACTGTTTTTCAGAGGGTTTTTTTGTTTTTACTTTAGGTGTTTAATAAAAAGTTCTTTTACTCAGAAGTCAACACTTTAACCTTTTAATACAATACCTTTTTAGAATCAAAGGGAAACTTGAAGAGCAGAGACCAGAAAGAGTAAAGCCTTTTATGACAGGGGCTGCAGAACAAATCAAGCACATCCTCGCTAATTTCAAAAACTACCAGGTAAATAAATACCTTAAATATTTGGATCAAAGAATTATACAGTTTTAACCAAGGGCATAAAATTAGTTACTTGATGGATCTTTGTAATTAAACTGTGGTTCTTTTCCTGGGCTTTCGAGCAGTTTGAAAGCTTAGTAGATTTAATTCCAATTGTACAGGCTATAGAAGTACCCTTGTCTGCTCCCAAGTGTTTCCAGATCTTCTGATTCCAGAATCTCATCCCTACACTAATGACATCTATTAGTTCTTCCTCTCATAAATTACTTGTTGACCTCCTAAGTGGCCTTTCGAGTTTCTTTCTCTTTACAATTCAGTGTCTCGTTGCCACTGGAGCTCTTCCTGATAAATTTGAACTTATCCTATTGGAGAACTTCAGTGACTTCCCTTCTAAGAATAAAGAAAAAAACCTATCACAGTCTGGCTGTTTGATTTTCCTGGCTCTCACACACATACTGGCCATAAGATTCTTTCCTCATATGATGCACTCTGTTATTGGCAGCATTATGGTGTACTGTACTTGACTTTGTAAATAGGAATTGTATATGTGGTGCTGAGGAAATAAGTTACCAGAAAGCTAAAGTGTTCCTATATTTCTCTGCATTATTTTGGTCGTTATTGGTGCTTTAGTCAGGTGATTAGTGAGCATTTATTTTCTCCTAGGCATCAGAGCCTTGGCTACTGAAATTCTCTTGATTAAATCATGGTGTTCAGGGTCATTTTGTTTTACTCCAGCTTCTTTTGATGTGGCACATCTGCATATAATGGTCTAATTCTAGATGTTTGTTGTTTGCTTCCTAAGTTCTTTATTGGTGAAAACATGAATCCAGATGGCATGGTTGCTCTGCTGGACTACCGTGAGGACGGTGTGACCCCATATATGATTTTCTTTAAGGATGGTTTAGAAATGGAAAAATGTGTAAGTACACAACAGTGGGGCAAAATCAGTAAAGTGAAAATGGAGACATCCTAGGTGTGATTCTTTGTGCTAGTGAGATGGTTAGAGTGAATTAAACAGCGGTGCTTTTAAAATGTGGGTACAGGTCTTGTTTCTTTTTGAGTGTTTAAAGAGGATTTCACATGTAAAAGATTTTATGGTGTAGTCTTTGTAGAGAAAACTTACTGCATTAAAATCCTTTCACTTGATTTATGATGACTGGCAGTTGATCATTGAAAGCCTGTTACTAGGAGGCTGTTACTAGCTTTTAGTAAATATTGATATGCAAATTGCTTTAGTAAAATTCAGTGAATATCTGCTATGCAAGCAATCGCTGCTTCTAGAAGTGAAGGCATTTTATTCTCCCTTTCAGAGGCTTTCACATAAATTAGGAGCAAGGTGAACTTAAGGCTATACCAAACAAGATTAAAGGCAACAAGGCAGGTGTTGCAGAAGAGTACAAATGGCTTGCCAAAATGAATTATTTAGGATAACTGAGGTTTTGGTAAAACAAAGTGTGTCTGAGTGGGACTTTTGTTTAAAATGACTCAATAAGGATGGTTTTGCATCCACTGATAGACCTTGAACAATCTAATGTTGTTCTTTTGGTTTGCACTAGGATGCGAAAGAAAAAAATCCCCGCGCTTTCTGTCTGTCTTTGTGGCAGCCCAGATTGAATAGGGGACTACATCTATGGCCTGGAAATGTTACGTGCTTTCATATTGGGGAAAGGTGTTAAAATACTCTTCTTGTTTTCACAGTAACAAATTTGGCAATTTGGATCTACCACCTGTCATCATTACTGGCTGCTGCTTTTCATCCACACACCAGGAGTAGGACAAATGGGACTGATGTTACCTTGAATTCATTTATTTTGACCTTGATTTTGACCTATATGGAGCAGAGGCATTGTTTTTAAGAAAAACATGTCATGTAGGTTGTCTAAAAATAAAATGCATTTAAACTTGAGAGAATGCCTCTTAGTTTAATACACACTTAAATCCATCCTGTGTATAGTGATCCTGGAGAAGCTAGAGCCTGGTTATAGATAACTACTACAGAGCATGACTATCTTCAGATAATGTCTACAGTGAAAAGTACTTCTGGGAATGGAATATAAAAAGCAAGGATCTTAAATCTGAGTTAAAGTGAAGGGAGTTCCATGTTCACAGCAGAGCCAACATTTGAAGTGGATTCCTTCAACCTTTTTCATCACCTACAAATGGAAGTAGTTAACTGGAAGAGAGAACCAAAAGAAAAAGACCAACCCAGGTGGAAAGAAAGTATTGTCTGAGTTTATTTAAATAGCATATCAAGTTAGGACTAAGTACTATAGAAATCAGGACTCCTGAAATTGTGTAATAGGCTTCTGTCAAACTCCTGGAATAGGGTTGGCAAACTGGCTCATCCTGCTACCTATTTTATGTGATTGAGGTGATGGTTACATTTTTAAATGGGGAAACAATAACTTAAGGGATATGAAGTTGATTTGGTATCCAGCTTTATCAGGATGCTGCCACAGTCATTTATGGATTGACTGGCCCTTGACACTGCAATAGGAGAGATGAGTGTGATAGACCTTTAGGGCCTGCAAGTCCCATTATAGGAAAGGTTTGCTGGCCCTTGCTTTTGAAGATGAGGTTATAGATGGAATGTGAGTTGGCTGTTGGACAGAAGAAAAGGCAGCTGCTTCATGTATTAACATCTGAGTAAGGGTATGGAATGAAAGTGCAAACTATTTGATATGGGTAGTTACTGTCTGCTCAGGTTCCAGGCCAGGAGCAAGAAAAAGGTTCCTAGCCCTGTTCTGATGTGCTGGGGGGGGGGGGTTGAATTGGAGGGATGCAGTGGAAAAACAGTTAAGAAATTACGCTGTAAATAGTTGAAATGCCTGTTTTACTCCAAAGAACGTAAAATGTGAGTTTATAAGAGAAGGTGGGGAATTACACCTCTATACCTTTGCCTTCTGAATGATTCCACATTTAAAACTTTCAGGGTAAAAGTAAAGCCAATGATCTTTTTTTTTTTAAGATTCTTATTTGTTTTTAGAGCGGGGGAGGAGAAAGGGAATGAAACATCAATGTGTGGTTGCCTTGCACCTCCCTACTGGACACCTGGCCTTCAGCCCAGGCATGTTCCCTTACTGGGAATTGAATCAGTGACCCTTTGGTTTCCAGGCCCACATTCAGTCCACTGAACTACACCAGCCAGGGCTAGAGCCAGTGATTTAAAAAAAAATCCAACCCTGTTACATGTGTTCCAGGGTAAATCCAAATATTTGGCATCTGGAATTTGCCCTAGTGACTTAAAAGATGTGTGGTTCAGAATTTGAGACATTAGGTCCGAAATGCCCACTAGTGACTGGAAGAAAACCCAAATACAGGAAACTGGTGACAGTTTTAAGCTTTCTGATGTCTGACATTAAAATGTAGAAAAAGCACCAGTCTGGATTGAGGAAGCCACTCTGAACATATTAGTGGGGAGAATTTTTCAGGCAGTGGTCCAAGATGAGGATAACTTGAGATGAAGTCTCATCTATGCTGAAGTGGGATTTGGCAAATTAGCCATGGAAAAGTTGGAAGAATTGGAATAGCAATACTGAGGTTTTGTGTAGGAAGTAAAGACTTGAGGTAGTTGACTAAGAGTGCTTACTTTGTATCTAGTTACTCCCAGTCAGCTATGTCTACTTTGTACATCAGAAGTCATGTATCACTTTATTGTCATTGATGCTAAGTAACAGGCATGTCACTAGTGGTCTTAGAGCCCAGCTGCTGAATGTATGGAAAACTACTTGGTGGAGAAGACTTGTTTTTTACAGTGTTGTCCAAAAAAGCCTTTGTAACATTTGAGGGCAAGCATTCCAGGCAAAGAATAGCAAATGCAGTTTGAAGTGGAATGTTGCTGGACATGTTCCGGGGATAAGTTAGCCAGTGTACTGGATACAAAGTGGCAAGAGGAGAATTGAGGAAAGTGAGTGCATGGGAAAAGAAACCAGATTGTGCAGGAAAGCCACAGGACCGTGACATGATCTGCACTAAAGGGTTGTGTCCTGACATGATCTGCACTAAAGGGTTGTGTCGTGGTTGCTGGGTAGTGACAAAGAACAAGGGTTTAGCAATATTTTTATGTGAGACAATACATACAGTTTAGGGTTGTAGATATGAAAGTGATGGGAGATTAAGGAGAATAGAATTTGCAATGTGTGGAATGAGGAGGGGAAAATCAGTGTTTTGTCCTGGGCATTGGGAAGAAAGGAATTAACATTGAGATGGAATGGGAAATCGAGAGTTCAGGTTTGGACATAATATGAGGTGCAGATTCCTTTTTTTTCCCTTTTTTTAAAAAGTTGATTTAAAAGAGGAAAAGAGAGAAAAACTGATTGGTTACTTTTTCATGTGTCTTGACCGGGGGTTGAACCCACAACCTTGGCACATTGGGACACTGGCTCTAACCAACTAAGCTGCCTGGCCAGGGTCCCAGTTCTTGATGCAAATGAATAGGATAGGCAGACATTTGTCATGGGAGGAGAGTGGAGAGGTCTAAGCTAGAGACTCAGATAACTGGGAAGATCTCAATATGTGACTTTTTAAAATTAACTTTTATTTATTGATTTTTAGGGAGATAGAATGAGAAAGAAAAATGTTGGATTCTTGTTCCACTTATTTCATTCATTGGTTGATCCCGGACTGTGGATCCAGCCCACATGCAACCTTGGCGCATCAGGCTGATTCTAACCTAATGAGCTACCTGACAGGGCCTCAATGTATGACTTGAAGCCAGAACAGTGAGTGAGATTATTCAAGCCCTCCAATTTAAAGATTGATTAGCATAGTGAACTGGCAAAGGTGATTAAAAAGAAACCGCCCCTCAGGTAGGAAAACCAAGGGAGTGGCCTCCTGGACGTCTAGTCCAAGTGTTTCAGGAGGGAGGAAGCACTCAACAAGGTTACCTGTTATGAATTGGTCAGGTAAGCTGGTAAACTTTTAGAAATATTTAATAGGAGAGAAAGCCTGATTAAAACAGGCTCAAGGGAGCCCTGACTGGTATGGCTCAGCTGGTTGAGGATCATCACGCAAAGCAAAAAGTCACTGGTTTGATTCCTGGAAAGGGCTCATGCTTGGGTTGGGCTGTTTCCAGTTGGGACACTTGTGAGAGGCAGCCAACTGATGTTTCTCTCACACACCAATATATATCTCTTCCTGTCCTTCCTCCCTAACCCTCTCTCTAAAAATAAATAAAATCTTTAAAAAAAAATAGGCTCAAGAGAACAGCAAATTCACATGCAGCATATTGCCCATGAAATATCATAATACAATGTTTTTAAAAAATACTTTCATTGATTTTTTTTTAAGAGAGAGGGAAACATCGATGTGTTACTGCACTTATTTATGCATTTGTTGGTTGATTCTTGTATGTTCCCTGATGATTGAACCTGCAACCTTGGAGTATCACAATGATGCACTAATCAATTAAGCTACCCAGCCGAGGTCAAGTATTTTTTATTATGTGTGCATCTGCTTATGCAGTAGGTGTGTGAATGACTCATTTGGATCACATTTTTCTTTAACTATTTAAATCACTAGTAAACGTGTTTGTAAGTTCCATCATCTGACCTACAGGGTTAGTAACTAAACAAAACTGCTAATGATAATAAATGGTAGAATTGCAAAAACAACAAAAACCTCAACTGACTTGAAAAAACCCTGAGAATAGCACCCGGAAGTACTGAGCATTTGTGTGCATGTGCATGGAGCTGAATGACCTTGGCTGGCAGAATACTCTGTAAAATGGAATGTAGACCAGGATTTACTAAAGATTACATCTCAGTGACCACTACCTTACACTTAGGTCATGGCTATACAACCCTTAATTATATGGTAGAAGAATGGCTAACAGCTCCCTGGTGGGTTACAAACCTATTTCTGGGGGGAAAGAGCAAAACAAAACACCAAAACTTCAGCTTTGTGGCAATTGACACAAGCTTCCAGAGACTGCCCAGAAGAACTGAGAGCCCAACTTGATGTTTTTGGATATATTTATGATCTGGACCTACTTAGGGACCATACTTGAAAATCACTGGAACCCTGACTGGTGTGGCTTAGTTGGCTGGGTGTCATCCGGCAAAGCCAAAGATCTCTAGTTTGATTCCTGCAGGGCATATGCCAGGGTTGTGGGCCAGGTCCCTAGTTGTGGGGTGTGCAAGGGGCAGCCAGCCATCAATGTTTCCCTTGCACATCAATTTCTTTCCCTCTCTTTCTCCCTTCTTTCCCCCACTCTAAAAATAAGTAAAATCTTAAAAAAAAAAAAAGGAAAGGTACTATATACCTTCCTTTGAATTACTGTTAGCTGCTACGACAGCCATCTCAATAAGTCTTTAAATTTGTAGTATACAGGTAAAAAACAATGCTGGAAGTTTATATTCACCCCACTGAAGGTTCCACATACACAGAGTCGTAATGACCTCAGTGGCTGTCCATAGAATTCGATGAGAAAAATGTCAACCGTGAGCCTAGTGGAAGATTCTTTACAAAGTAATTACTGGTTCAATGTCTCCCTCAATTGCTCATACCCCACCCCATCCCACCCCCATACATTTGACATCTTCCTGTGTTTATACCTAGTACTCTTTGAGCTTTTGAGGTAAAACACCAAGAGGGAGAATGCCATATAAAGGTTTTTGCATATATGAGTCAATTTACAGATGGGGAAATGAGAATTGATATCAGGTGACTCACTTGAGGTGCCCTCTAACTAGGAGGGGACAGACACACAGACCACAATAGCTAGTTAGTTATGAATACA